GCCAAGGAGAAACCAAAGGCTACCGATTCCGCATCATTTGGCTCAAAGCCTGCTTCCACTGGGAACTCAGAGCCAACATCTTTGAGTAACATTGCTGTTGAGGCGGCGAAAAGACGTGCGGAGGCATTTAAGAAAGCATGCCCGTTTCTCCCAGATATGCCGTGCCCTGGAGTTTTCCTCGAGGACCTCAACCTCGCCGAACCCCGCATGGAAACTGCTATCAACCGACTACGGGCAGTTCGTGGCAGCGCCTCGGTGCTGCGGAACTATCGAACTATTGCGCAGGTCGAAGATGCACTCTGCGCGGTAACAGAGTCTCTTGCTGATGAGTTGCGCACTGCAACGTTCCGGATGCTGGTGCGCTATCCGTGGCTGGAGAGCCGCTTGGATGGCGTGCTGCTGGGAAATTTGCAGGAGCTGGAGATGGACCTTGACTTCCAGTCGCTTATGGCGATCTATCGGGCCGCGGAGCGGGAGGGAAAACCAACGAAAAACATTATGGAGTGCCTGCGAAAACGTGCTGAGGCATTGACGCGTGAAAGTCCGTACGTTGTGGCACCTGAACGGTACCGTGGACATGAAATCCTATTTCCCACAGCACTCGAGACAATACCCGCTCCGTCGGTGCAAAGCGACGATGGCGATGCGCCGAAAGAGACGAAAAAAGAGGCGGAAATGCGTGCACCAATGCCACCGCAGCCGCGCGCACAGCCAGTTCGTGCACGAACACCACCGACTGGGACTCCCACAGGCGGTGGGGAATCCTCTCCAGCTGTGGCCAGCCAGAAGCCGCAGAAGCAGCAGAAGCAAAGATATCAGGAGATGATTGAGACTGCAGAGACGATGGCGCAGCGCAGGCTATCATCACAAGTTCCCGCAGTCGAAACTGCGAAAGCGGCGCCGCTTGCATCGTCATTGCAGCCCTCCGTCATGGAAAACACAAAGGAGGCGACACGTATTGCACCCGCGCATATCCCCACGCAACCTCCCAAGACAAATGCAGCAACAACAGCAAACCCACTCCATACTGGGAAAGCATGTGAACCGGCGTTGATTCACCCGGATCGCCCATCACCTGCTGAGGTGCTAATGCGAGGCATCAAGGCGAGAGTTTCCCCGAGCGTTGGCACTGTGGTGGAAGAGGAATATGATCTCCCGACGACGCGTCTCCCTGTGGCTAACACTTCGTCGGAAGCAAGTAAGCCATGCGAGGTAAAGGACCGAAGGCAGTGCCCATCAATTTCATCACCTAGTACCAAAGCACCCAGTTTTCTTGCCATGAGCCAAAACAAGGATCGTGTAATGCCAGTTGCGCCACTGCCGGAGAAAAAACCCGCGTGTGCGACACCACCAGCGAAGCAGGACATTGTCCACATCACACAAAACGCGCGGCGACCTTCCTCTGCAATGGACACTGTGGTGCCGAAGAATGACAACAGCACCGAAAAGAAGCCGAGCTTGTTTGGCGGCTCATCTTTCAAGACGATGGAGCAGGCGCTGCTGGATGAACGGGTGCAGTTGGAGAAGCTGGAGTCCATTCTCGAGGAGGCTCGTGTGGTGGAGAGGGCACTGAATGACAGCAAGGAGCTGCCAAGTACCGGTGCGGCGAGGCAAAACTTGGAGGAGACAGCGAAGGGGAAGCCAACGGAAGATGATCAGAAACAGCAGCCGAATGGACAGGCGAAGATGTGGCCAACATCATCATCCGGCCCCCGGCTGTCTAAGGCGCCTTCATCGTATTCGGTGATGCCGGACCCTACTTCTGATGTGGCCACCGCATCGCGCTTGTCAACGATGTCGCCCACCACTGCGAAGAGGGAGGCCGTGCCGCTCGGCCCATTGTTCGAGGAGATCCATACCGGGAATTCGGCGCGTGGGCGGAGCAAGGACAATGAGGATGAGTTGCTGCGCAAGCTCCTTGAAGAGCGGCGAAAAATCCGCGAAAAACATGCTATGAACGAGCGCAACAACATGAGCCTTCAGCTTCAACAGACGCGAAGTTGTCTAGAAGGCAGCCGCTCTCCAATGAACTTCAACTCCCTTACAGACGCTGTCGTTAAGTCTTCATGGGGCACTCTTCGAAACGACTCGGATTGGGAGCAGCCACAGCTACTGCCGTCGCTCCCACGGGCATCATTGCGGGGGCGGCGTAGCCAACAGCAACAACCGCAGTCTAATGGAGAGCCGCGACTGCCGTGGGGACGCTACACGATACAGCGGAGGCTGCCGTCAAGCTCCCTGGCGCCACGACGTCTCTCCAGCGCACCGGAGGTGTCACGACCGAGCGATGACGGATCTCTGCAGTTCCCCACGATCAGCTCAGGGTCCTCCGCGGATAACTTGCCGCATGCTTCGCAGAGCTCACAGTGGGAAAGCATCTCAAGCATCACCACCGGTATGAGCCAGTACTACTCTGCGCTGTGCCGTCAAGCAGGAATCAAGCCAAACAGTATGCTGGTGCGTGCTCTGCCTGACACGCACGGCGCTCATGTCAGCCGCATCGATACGTCCGTAAACTACGTCGGCCCCAAAGGTCTCCTGCCGCTCTTGCAGGTGATGCGCTGCAATATTGGTCTGGAGTATCTCAACCTGAGTCACAACAACCTCGAGAATGATGAGATTGTCGATCTCGTGAATGTATTAATGACAGATAGCGGCTCAAGGCTGCGCTTCTTAGATCTATCCAATAACCCAATCTCCCTGGCGGGTGGTGCCGCACTTCTGCGCCTCGCGCAAGTGCGGTCATCCCTCGTGACGTTGCGTCTGAAGGGCACGCTCATCCCGCATCAGGTGACGCGCAGCATTCAGGAACTCTGCGAGGCCAATCGGCTGAGGGCGTCGTAAACGAGAGGAAACCATCACACGAAACAAAGAAACGGCGGCCACCTGGCCTTTCCTTTCATTTTGTTTTGTATTGCGGAGAGGGGTGTAGTGCACATGGCGGTGGGCTGTGCTTTGTGTCTTAACTTCTGTATGCAAAACTATTTTTGGGCTATCTTGAATGTAAACAACGAAAGAACACGACGGGGTGCAAAGGAACGTGGGAGGTTTACGCTGCCCACCTCCTCCGGCATCCATCGCATGCTCTATACCTTTATGTTGCGGTGGGGAAAAAAAAAGTAAAATGCAAGGGCTCGACATCATTTCACTTCCAAAAAAAAAAAAAAAACAGCACCAACAACTGATTTCCTATTCCCTGGAGTCCGTTTGCGCGTTTTCGTTGCTGTTGTTGCAATTTCTCTTCCCTTTCATTTGACTGGCATCCGTGTTGCTGCCGTGCCACCTGCTTTCTTGTTCTCTTGTGGTTTGGTCTTCCCTGCTCCGCCTCGGCCGTAAAACAGCTGTGGCAATAGAGGCTGGCTGGCAGGTCAATGCTTCCGGTGCCGGCCGGGCGGACGAATTTCGTCGTCGCCGTTCGCTGCCGACATTTGAACGCGCACGAGGAGTCCATCGCACCGCTGCGCTACCCGCGACGCAGCGACACCCACCACCACTGCGTCTTCTTTAACCATACCCCGGCTGTGCACAACGCGTCACGGATAGCAGAGACCACACACGCGACGGCTGTTCTTGTCGACCCTGACAGCAGCAGCGATTTCTCCCCGCTGTGGTGCAGCAGCCGCGGGGCATCGCCGCAAGACCAATCCTCATCGCCGCTGCTGCTTCGGCTTGAGGCACGAGAGTTGCAACGCGCGTTGACTAGCAAGGACGGGGTGCGCAGCTTCGCCTTTGACAAGGTGTTTCCACCTGCCTCCACAAATGAGGAGATCTACACCGCCCTCGTACAGCGGCTGGTGATGGCAGCCGAGCACGGCTACAACGGCACCTTCTTCGCGTACGGCCAGACAGGCACAGGGAAGAGCTACACTGTGTTCGGAGAGAGTACTGGTGGCAGCAGCGTGCTCGGTCTCAGCAGCCTCGTGGCGGCTGACTTGTTTGGCCAGCGTCACCGCCCGGAGTGGTACAGCAACGATGCGGGCATCAAGCAGCACGGCGAGAAGGCGATATTTGTGTCATTTCTCGAACTGTACAATGAGCGGCTGCGCGATCTCCTCGTCGACCCGGCCACAGCTGTGAGCGGGAGCAGTGTGCACAGCCGTGTGGGTGTTGCTCGCTATGATGATTTAGACGTCGTCGAGCACCCGGTGCATGGAGTGCAGGTGCCGCACTTGACGCGCGAGCGTGTGCGCTGCGTGGCGGAGCTGGAGCAACTGCTGGAGGAGGGCAGCCGCCGCCGCACAAAGGCCGCCACCAACAGCAACGAGGCCAGCTCGAGGAGCCACGCGATTGTGCAGTTTACGGTTCGGCAGTGCGTTGCGGATGCTGCTGCTGATGCTGATGCTGCATCTGTTTGTTATGCTCGGACAGGAGGGAGGGAGGCGGCGGCGCTGCGTACATTTCTTACGGCGAAGTTGTCGATGGTAGACTTGGCTGGCAGCGAACGTGTGACGGGATTCGAGGCCTTCACACGTTCAGCATTCCCATGCGGGAGCGTCACTGGTGGCCCTGGCGTCGTGCAGAGGCAACGTGACACTCGCCGCCGGGAGGGATCGAACATTAACAGGAGTCTTCTCGCTCTCGGCAACTGCATCAAAGCCCTAGGGACTGTTTGCCGACAGCAGCAGCAGCGGCAACAACATCAACAACAGAGGTTGGAGCGGCTTCACATCGCAGCTGGCGCGCCCGCTGCTTCTCCTTCCTGTTGGCAAGGGGCCACCATCAGTGCGAATGCTGCAGTGCCGCTCGAAGCGCACGTCCCATACCGTGATAGCAAACTGACGCGTCTGCTCAAAGAGTCTCTCGGTGGCAACACGCAGACGGTCATGCTGGCTACCATCTCTCCTAGTTGCACTTCTTTTGAGGAGACGCTTTCAACGCTGAGGTACGCTGCGCGGGCTAGGAGGATCACACGTCCTGTGAATCAGAACATCGTTGTGGACGTGGCTGAGGAGGAAGTGGAGGAGTGTATGATACGTGGAGAAGACCGTAGTGCTGCACATCTCTCTCGCCAAGGATTTGAAGCGGATTGTGATGCAGGCAGACGGCTGCTGTTGCTTAAACTAGAGGCCGAGGTGCGTTCCTTGCAGACGCAACTGCATGTCACAGAGGCCGCAACGGAGAAGATGGGGTTGGCGCGGAATATGGACACACATAGAGACGTCCCATTCTCGGCAACAGAAGCGGCTGGTATGACGAGGAGTAGCAGCAGCGGCATCATCAAAGGAATAGGGGAAGGTCGCCTGTTGGCGCTGTATAATGAGACGCGGCGTGAACTGCAGGCACTCCTACAGGAGAGAGCCGCTGCTGCGTCTGCTGCTGCGAAGCGGGAGGAGAACACCGACATCCACCGGTGCTCAGCGAACAAGGAGCTGATCCGTGAACTGGTGCGGAAGGAGCGGCGTAATGCACTCCTGCAGGAGCAACACCGACGCATAGATGCATTTCTTTCATAAGCGAGATAAATCACTCCGAGGTAGATTGGAATGTTTGTAAAATCACGACAGCGACCTTTTTATCGGGACCATGTTTCTCCGTTGTTGCTATGGCCTCTGAATCGACGAAGAAGAGTGAGAGAGGTGTGGGTCGACAGGCATATCTGTTCAAGGACAGCATGACTGAGGGCTGGTACTGAGAGCCTGCAGTAGTGGAGGTCCCCACGGCTGCTGAAGGGCTGGTGCGCCGCATACAATGACTGCCGCAATGCTTGGCTTGATGACTTCAAGGAGGAGTGGAAGGAGGAGGAGGAGGAAGGGGATTCTATTCGCACCGAGTTCCTTACCACCCGTTGATGCTGGTTCTCCCCAAACCACATGGGAACGTAACAAACAGCAAGAGCTCTTGCAAAATTCTTTCATGTGCGGTGATGAACCAAACCATTGGGCCGATGTACTTCCAGGCGCTGGGTGTCTCTGCGGCTCGTGGCAGTTGCTTTTGGTCTTACCCCTCTCTCCTGCTGCTGGTGTTCTTTGAGATCACTGCGAAGGCTGCTTCAGCGGTGCAGAGGGCCGCTGTCGTTGCTGCCGTTACACTCCTGTGTGGTGGGATGCGGTGAATCTTCTTCTGTGTATGCACACGGCTTGCTTGCTCAGTTCCTCGCTTCCACAGGGTGTGGAGTGGTTCTGCTTCCTCCTTGGGAATGAGGGCGACATAATGCCATGCAAAGAAGATGCTTGACGGCCACCACGTTGCTTTCCTCGCTGTTATGGATGCTTCTCTGAAAGACGGCTTGTGATTTTTCACTCGTGCTTGAACGTCTGCGCACATGAAAGGATTTTCATTGACGCTTCGTTCCTCTGCTGCATTGTGTTTGATGGCGTCTCTTCATTGCATCATTCTGGAAGAAATCGTGCAGCTGCCGAGATTGCTTCTCCAGAGCGCCAGCAAAAGACAAAAAAAGAATGGCCAGCGCAGTGTTGTTGCATCCTGCGCCGTGGGAAGAACGGAATTACCTGAAGGAACTGACGAACATTCTCGAAGAGATCCGTGCGGCGACGGCTGCTGAGCGCGAGCTTATACACCAGCAAAGGAAGCGTGAAGTGCGCCTGTTTATTTGACGAGGGAGCATTTGTCAACATACATCACAATGGCACCCCCATGGCCGATAATGCGCCGTGGCATCTTTGGGTCTTCTTTCCTTGAGTTTGGAATCATTGTACCATGCAGTCGGTAGGTATGAAGACAGACTGAGTGGTGGATTCAATGGACTTGAGGAGAGCTTTTCTACGCATTGCAAGTACTGCAGACCAGTTGAAGGAATGCCCTTTCATTTTGCTGGTGTGGTGGAGTCTGCAGAGACGTTGATCTTTCTGAAAACTGATGCCTGCCCCCTTTGCTGTCTTACTCCTGTTTTTCCCTCGATCTTTTCCCGCTAGTGCCTCCAGAGGTGGCCGGCCTCACGTGATAGGGGTACTGTCTGAGACATTGGCGGCTTAAGCATACCTAGAACTAACGCCTGTAGGCTGCTGAGTGCATAGGGGATGGAACAGTCGGGCTGTGGATGTTGCCCGAACACCACTCCACTTGTAGAAGCAGCATCAGCGGCGGCAACGACAACAGGAGAGGGGCATTTTCCAAGGGCTCATCGAATCGCCGCAGTGGATTCGGGTGCCCACCCATCTGCACCAGTCGGAGTCCTTCCTTTGTACGCGGTGGCTAAGAGGTTCCGGGGAAGCAATGAGCGGAGACATCCACATCATCTACAAGGAAACACACCGAGGAGCGACCAGTCATTGCGAGGGGCTGTACTTCTTCGTGAAGGATGGGTGAGGGATATCGCGAAGGACACGAGGGCATTGCTGCAGAAAATGCCCTCGTGTGCACGTCCGATATCGGTGCCACACAGCCAGAACTCTCTGCCGTTGAAGCTCGTAAATGCAACTGTAAATTCGTTGCTCGAAGGACGAACGGGTCACATTTGCTGCGCACATGGCTCAGTGACAAAGGAGTGCCAGCCTGTTGAAGCCGTCACAACACCTCACGAGCGGCAGCCGCCGTATCGCCTCCGATGGAAGAAGCTGGCGCTGCGAAAACCCGTAAATTTGTCTCTCTCGCCTGAGGCTTTTGCTTCACCAGGGAGAGATGACAATGAAGACTCTCTCACTGAGCGAACGAAGGTTAAATCAGGGCTACAGGATTACATCCACGACTTCCTAGACAACAAGACGATTGAAGATGCATTGATAGCCAGAGTGGGTGTCAAGGATATACCGGCACCTACCGAGGAGGCCAAGGATGCACCGGCACCTAC